CCACTAACGACATACAAACGGGAGCGTCTTGCTTTTTGAGGGCAGCCCTTTTTTGGTCGTTTTTAACGGAAAGCAAAAGGAAAACCACCATGTTTTTTTGGGGGAGGGGGCTCCCTTAACTACAAAACACCCACATCTTCTCCAACGGATCAACAAACCAGCTGGAACTGCCAAACCTACTTCCCGCAATCCCAATCACAGTGCTTGACCCTCGTGCAACGAATGAGCATCTACGGAGTTCCATGCCCTTTTTGGACGACCCGCGCCTCTTCGATTCAGCGCTGTTGCTGTAAGCCCGTGACAAAAGTATGTATCGCTTCCTTCAACCTTCTGTGCAATTAATGCTTAGTTGACGTTGGAAGGGGAGCAAAAATTCAAATCTAAACCACAATAGGCAAAAATGGGGATAACATGTTTCCCAACAACCACCATGAATGCCCGGTTTGTTCGAAAGCAAGGCAGCCATGGCAGTCAGTTGCTGGATGACCAGTGCCCATGATTTACGAAGTATTGCACAAGCAGGGCAGAAAGAACTAAACTGAACCTCACGCGTGACAATGAAATGAAATCGACGAGTGATGCCGGAATATTGCAAGAATGGAACAAGGGAAACAAGTATGACTCACCTGAAGCTTTTTGGCTTGCTTGCCTTCTTGCTTGCTTCCTTGCTTGCTGGCTGGCTTGCCTTCTTGCTTGCTTGCACTAAATCGAGAGAACCCGCTGCGTTGGATTTCCAGCCCAACGGTCCGGTCACGCATGAGCAAAATTACTAGTGACAATCCTACCGGTTAGTTCACTCTAGTAACTCAGATGCCCAATGGCCATGTGAAAGAAGGGGCATCTTTTTTGGGTTGGTTGAGTTTCAAACGGAACCCTCCCCCAAAAAAAGGGGTAAAAAGGGCCCCACTGCAACTGGGGTTAGTTTAAGCCCCTCACTGAGTCTCATCACGAGTTCAAGGCCCACCGGCTCCCATCGAATGATGCCTCTGAGGGCTGGACCCCCAGCAGTCCTGGCTGAGGGAAACTTTCTGAGCTGTCGGGAAAAACCACACCACCGAACAAATGAACACAAGGCACGAAACAAACAAACTAACGCATACACATAAGCAAGCAAGCAAGCAAGCAAGCAAGCAAGCAAGCAAGCAAGCAAGCAAGCAAGCAAGCAAGCAAGCAAGCAAGCAAGCAAGCAAGCAAGCAAGCAAGCAAGCAAGCAAGCAAGCAAGCAAGCAAGCAAGCAAGCAAGCAAGCAAGCAAGCAAGCAAGCAAGCAAGCAACGGTTGAAGCCCTAAATATTGCAAGTGCGGAGCAGAGAAGGGCACGGTCCACTAAGGGAAGCACTGTGACATGATATCTGTGGCCCCCCTTCCCCTGATACAATGTTGAACTTGCAATATATTGGGCCTCGGAAGACGGGATACGGGCTTGGCTTCAACATTGTAAGTGGGGGAGAGAGGTCCGCACGCAGCGGGCGATGCCACAGAAATGGTGTCAACATGTGCATTGGTGGCGCTTGCAATATTTAGGGCTTCCACTGTCTGGGGTGAGCAGTTACAGCAAGGCTATGTTTGCCTTCCAAAGCAGCCTAGACACGTGAAACTTGTGAAACTTGGCCAGAGCTCGTCCTGAAACTTGTTGGCATTTGCGTGAAACTCGTGAAACTCGTGAAACTTTGAAGAAAAATATTTTTTCTTCCAAGTTTCACGAGTTTCACGAGTTTCACGCAAATACCAACGAGTTTCAGGACGAGTTCTGGCCAAGTTTCACAAGTTTCGCATGTCTGTGTGAAGGCAGGCGTCTCCAAACCCTTGCAGGTTGTGCACGTGTGTGGGCTGAGCAAGGCAAGTCTCTCCAAAGTCTTCGCACGCAGACAAAGAGACGGTGCGGAGCGACGGGCGCGGACGCAAAAAGCGATGGACAGTCTACGCGAGACGTCTGGGGTGAGCAGTTACAGCAAGGCTATGTTTGCCTTCCAAAGCAGCCTAGACACGTGTGAAACTTGGCCAGAGCTCGTCCTGAAACTTGTTGGCATTTGCGTGAAACTCGTGAAACTCGTGAAACTTTGAAGAAAAATAAGTAAGGTTATTTTTCTTCCAAGTTTCACGAGTTTCACAAGTTTCACGCAAATACCAACGAGTTTCAGGACGAGTTCTGGCCAAGTTTCACAAGTTTCGCATGTCTGTGTGAAGGCAGGCGTCTCCAAACCCTTGCAGGTTGTGCACGTGTGTGGGCTGAGCAAGGCAAGTCTCTCCAAAGTCTTCGCACGCAGACAAAGAGACGGTGCGGAGCGACGGGCGCGGACGCAAAAAACGATGGACAGTCTACGCGAGACGGTCTGGGGTGAGCAGTTACAGCAAGGCTATGTTTGCCTTCCAAAGCAGCCTAGACACGTGAAACTTGTGAAACTTGGCCAGAGCTCGTCCTGAAACTTGTTGGCATTTGCGTGAAACTCGTGAAACTCGTGAAACTTTGAAGAAAAATAAGTAAAGGTTATTTTTCTTCCAAGTTTCACGAGTTTCACGAGTTTCACGCAAATACCAACGAGTTTCAGGACGAGTTCTGGCCAAGTTTCACAAGTTTCGCATGTCTGTGTGAAGGCAGGCGTCTCCAAACCCTTGCAGGTTGTGCACGTGTGTGGGCTGAGCAAGGCAAGTCTCTCCAAAGTCTTCGCACGCAGACAAAGAGACGGTGCGGAGCGACGGGCGCGGACGCAAAAAACGATGGACAGTCTACGCGAGACGGTTGAAGCCCTAAATATTGCAAGTGCGGAGCAGAAAAACAAAGGGCACAGGTCCACTAAGGGAAGCACTGTGACATGATATCTATGGCCCCCCTTCCCCTAATACAATGTTGAACTTGCAATTTATTGGGCCTCGGAAGACGGGTTACGGGCTTGGCTTCAACATTGTAACTGGGGGAGAGAGGTCCGCACGCAGCGGGCGATGCCACAGAAATGGTGTCAACATGTGCATTGGTGGCGCTTGCAATATTTAGGGCTTCCACTGTCTGGGGTGAGCAGTTACAGCAAGGCTGTGTTTGCCTTCCAAAGCAGCCTAGACATGTGAAACTTGTGAAACTTGGAAAGAGCTCGTCCTGAAACTTGTTGGTATTTGCGTGAAACTCGTGAAACTCGTGAAACTTGGAAGAAAAATAAGTAAGGGTTATTTTTCTTCCAAGTTTCACGAGTTTCACGAGTTTCACGCAAATACCAACGAGTTTCAGCACGAGTTCTGGCCAAGTTTCACAAGTTTCGCATGTCTGTGCAAAGGCAGGCGTCTCCAAACCCCAGGTTGCACACGTGTGGGGGCTGAGCAAGGCAAGTCTCTCCAAAGTCTTCGCACGCAGACAAAGAGACGGTGCGGAGCGACGGCCGCGGACGCAAAAAAACGATGGACAGTCTACGCGAGACGTCTGGGGTGAGCAGTTACAGCAAGGCTGTGCCTTCCAAAGCAGCCTAGACATGTGAAACTTGTGAAACTTGGAGAGCTCGTCCTGAAACTTGTTGGTATTTGCGTGAAACTCGTGAAACTCGTGAAACTTTGAAGAAAAATAAGTAAAGGTTATTTTTCTTCCAAGTTTCACGAGTTTCACGAGTTTCACGCAAATACCAACGAGTTTCAGGACGAGTTCTGGCCAAGTTTCACAAGTTTCGCATGTCTGTGTGAAGGCAGGCGTCTCCAAACCCTTGCAGGTTGTGCACGTGTGTGGGCTGAGCAAGGCAAGTCTCTCCAAAGTCTTCGCACGCAGACAAAGAGACGGTGCGGAGCGACGGGCGCGGACGCAAAAAGCGATGGACAGTCTACGCGAGACGGTTGAAGCCCTAAATATTGCAAGTGCGGAGCAGAAAAACAAAGGGCACGGTCCACTAAGGGAAGCACTGTGACATGATATCTGTGGGCCCCCTTCCCCTGATACAATGTTGAACTTGCAATATATTGGGCCTCGGAAGACGGGATACGGGCTTGGCTTCAACATTGTAAGTGGGGGAGAGAGGTCCGCACGCAGCGGGCGATGCCACAGAAATGGTGTCAACATGTGCATTGGTGGCGCTTGCAATATTTAGGGCTTCCACTGAAGCAAGCAAGCAAGCAAGCAAGCAAGTAAGCAAGCAAGCAAGCAAGCAAGCAAGCAAGCAAGCAAGCAAGCAAGCAAGCAAGCAAGCAACCAATCTCACTCTGAGCATGAAAGCATCGCAAGCCGACAGCATTCGGACACTGATTGCACAGAGTCATAGAAGCGGGAACAACACCCTGTTGCAAGAAAGCTTATCTTTTTCCTTCCTCTCTAAAGCCCAGTGGTCAGTGTCATAATGTTATTTGACATTGGGCGGGGGGGGGGGGGGATCTGGAAGAAACAACTTGAAGACTTCTCTTGGTGTCCCGCTGGGAACAATTAATTAACGTGGTGGTCCCTTCTCAACAAATATGGACGTATAGTCTAGCGTATAAATTGATGGCACTCTGACTAGGTCCTCCAGTAGAGAGGCTAGAATACGGGTACCAACTTTTCTCTGTAGTCTATTTTAGTAGGGGAACTCTCCCCAACCAAAAAAAGGGGTAAGGATGTGGTCCCTTCTCACCAACTAGCTAATGGGCGGCGCACCCTACCCGAGTACCGCGAGTTCCGAGTTCCGGCGGCGGTCCTGCTCCCAGCGAGTGGTAGGCGTCGGAGGTCGTTATCGTATCCTAACGGGGATGCCACAGTCTTGAAATCATACCCTCCTATGCAGTATCATGGGTAGTGGGTCAACAGTAGGGAGAAAAGGATACCCCCAAATAAAGGAAACGGCAACAACTGTTAAAAGCCAAGTCTGCCAATAAACAGATGCCTGATTGAACGCCACTGGAGTCATCCTAATTGTGGGGCGTGCAAAGCCACTACATTTCAAAGACTTCCTAAAAGAAACAAACATGTCCAATTTCTGAGCCGGCGGTGTGAGAACCCCACTTCTCCCAAGCGCTTTTTCCCAGCAGCTCAGACTCTCCGCGTACTCGCGCGGAAGCGCTCAACTCACCTCGCGGGCTCGGTGTCGCGTGTTGAGCTCCTCGCGAGTCGCATCGTGCACGCCAGGTGATCCGTCGGCCCATCCTGGACCAAGGGGAGGGCTTCGGGGAAAAAGAATCAACAGTTTTTGGTTGACGTTGGAAGGGGAGCAAAAAACTCCCGCTTCAAACTGCCATTTGGAGGTTCCAAAAAGGGAAATGGGATAAACCCAGATCAGTAGAGAGGTTAGAATAAGGGTACCAGCATTTTTCTGTAGTCTATTTTGGTAGGGGAACCGAATCTCCCAACCAAAAAAGGGGTAAAAGAGCGGGCACTGGTGAACCTTGAGGGCCTATCGGAGGGCACCCCTACGGTGCAACAACACCCCTGCCTGCAGCTACCCTCCGCTGGATCGTCAGGTCCACAATCTTCCGATGGATTCGAAAATCAGCGCACCGCTTTCTCGCAAGCCCCCACAGCTCCAGTGAAGCCTTGCAGGCAAAGCAAACTGGCTATGTTCGACTAGGGACTTTGCAAAACATGTTTTTCCTGATGATGTGTACCAACCATTGTTCAGTGATTCTAGTGCTACCTTCCCCATTCTTTCCAGGGATCCTTCTTTCTAGAAAACCTCCGGAAATCCATGGAAACGGATCGGGTTTTCCAACAGAACGGTGGTTGGAAAGAATGGAAAAGGAATCAACCCTTCGAATTGTGGGTGCCACTCAGTGCAACTCAAATTCCCGCAAGAAGGCTTGCAAGAAATTTCACCCCGTGCCAGGAACCGGCAATAGGTTACCACCATTTGCCTAAGTCCCCTGAAAAAAAAAAAAAACAATGTGTTCAGTTGTGCTGAATTCCCTGTAATGGGAACAGTGAAAAAAAAAACTGTATTCTTAAGCAAACGTAGGTTGCAGCTGTGTTTTGGTTTAGGCTAGTTCTGCCAAACTCTGCGCCAGGTGCCTCTAACAGCAAGAACCCCTTGTGGATCAAGTCCAAATTCCGGATACCGTTGCCATTCTCAAGGGGCCAGAACCGCTACTAAACGCTTGTTGTATTTCGGTGGTACCAACGTCAGAATGTGGTTTCAAGCAAACACAACTTGTGTTCGGTGTGAAGCCAGTTTCGTTCAAATCCCCGGATCGATCCATTCGCGCGCCGCCTCAGCTTGATGTTTCCAACCTAAACAAAAATGGAGTGACGCCGTTCGTGACACCCAGCTTTTCAATGGGCGCCAGGGCCCCCTTTGGAGGCTCCCTAAAAACCTCCAACTGAGCCTTGGCGGAATCAAAAAGTCAAGCTGGGCCTCGCAAGAGAGCCCAATGTGGCACATGCCCAATTCCTTCCTCCATGAGGATGTCTTCAACTGGGGATGGAGTATTTTGCTCTCGGGTCCCTTTGCATCAATGCCCAAAGCCACAACCCTGTTAATTATGATTTGCGCAAAGCACCTGGAAACACAAAGTGCATAATTCAACTACGAGCTAAAACAATTACAAATTTGTTGGTACTCAACTTTCAATTGGAGAAAAACATGAGGGCCCCGCCCCCCCCAATTTTCATACAAAAACCAAGGGGTTCAATCCAATGTTTCGCGTATCGTGGGAACAACTAATATTGTCCAGGGCTCATGTCACCTTCATTTGTGTATGCCTTTTCAGGGAACCCGTGCAGGATTACTTGAAGTGTGCCAACAAGTTGACGGATTGCCACCTTCTAGGGACAAACTCGGGCCCATATCCCGTCAGAAAGCTTCGAATGGGACCCTTCCGTCAGAAGGTTCTTTCCAAACCCTCGAAAGTTGGGGCCTTGGCTTTCCTGCCTATAACAGTTGTGCCCATTTAGGCAGGGAGGTCAAAGAGCATACAGCCCAAAGACTCAAAGCAGAAGTCGAATTCGCGACATTGCGAAACCTGACAAATAGCATCCGACCTGTCTGGGAAAAGGGCTTCATGGGTGGCGTTAGACGATACCAAAAAGGAAGCCACCCATTTGGTGGTTGATATGACCATTGGGTAAACACCACCAGAAAGATTATATTTCACCCACATGAGAAAAGTTACCTATGGTCATTTGGGGGGCCCTAAATCGCCTAAATGGAATATGGATCAACCAACTGGGGAAACCAACAGGTCAAAAGTTTGGACAACTGAACTGAGTCATTCCGCCCTCTTTCCCTTTTTTTGCAGGGTTTTGGGTTCCAATTCCTTCAAACTCAACCAACCAAAAAATAATCGGATTCTGATTCTTTTGTTCCCAGGGAAAGCCACCGGGCATCGAGCCGACGCGCGACTCTCCTCAAGTTTTGCGTCTGAGGAGCTCACCTTGTTGGGCGCCACCCGTCGCAGCTCCATGGCGCCTAAGAACTCCAGCGCCCGGCGCCAGTGGCACGCGCTGAGCGCGCTGCCTTGGCGCGTCAGATCGGCCAAGCACTTGGCATGGCTGCTTCCCTGTGAAAATTCCGTGGTCATTTCAGTGATAAGCTAATTCTTTATGTTTTTGCAAAAGCCTGAACTCTTATTCGAAATTGAAGAGCTAAGAATGCACAAGTTGGGTAATTCGCAAGAGATGGGAAATGACAAAATATCTAGTTCCCTGAGAGACCTACTCGGAGCGTCAGGCGAGGTTCAAACTATCTTAACTTACCCAAGTTCCCCCGACACAAACCACAAATATCTAGAAAGGAGACCAAAAGGAAACAACCCGGAAGGGGTCTCCTTACTTTGAGACACACCCATTCAGGGTTCGCCGTTTCATCAACATGCCATTGTGCAACCACATTAACATTGTGTAAGCTGTATTTTAGTTCATGTCTTATCCGTCTACATGCGGGGTTACACTTTGGAACCCTCTGCAACAAGCATACGTAACCCACCCTGTCCCTTTTATGACCCTTAAAATAGGGGGAACATCAAACCCCCAAAAACCAAACAGGCCCACAAACCAGGGATGATCGGCCACAGGCATTCCCCTATCTTGACAACCGCCAAGAAAAGGCCGGCACCCTTTTTGGGGCACCCCCCCCTGCCTTCAGGTGGCCCTTGATCTCAAGACATACTCTGCATGGACGAAATCCTGCACCACTTGGAAACCATGAGAAAACATTGTTTGTTGGAATTTACAGTTCTTAGGTGGTGCAGGATTTCGTCCATCCACTGTATCTTATGTTTTTGGCTATTGGAATCTCTTCACCCAAGATGCAGGCTAGATGACTCCAGTAGTTTTCCTCATGCAAAGGAAAAACATGGAACAGCATGGGAAGAAGCAGGAAAAGCATTGGACACGTGTAGGAAGAGCAGTGGAGTGGAAAGGGGAGGGGCCGAACATTGAAAACTCAAAGAATAAATCTACAGGAACTTGTACAGGAAATTAGACTTGCTTAGACTGGGCTTATCCAAGCCAAGCCTGGGCTTATCCAAGGCTCATCCAAGCTTTGAAATCCTCAAGATCGGGGTCTCTCCCCCTTAAAACGGCTTAGGCTAGATTCCCAAAGCCCTCCCAATTCAACTTCCAGGAGAATATCCTGGAGATGTTTTGATTGAAAAACCCATTGGGAACCCATGGGAAAGCCTTCAATCAAGTTTTGAGGCAAAAACAACTGGACAACCAGGCGCATCAGAAAAAACTAGGAAAAGCCTACCAAGCACCAGGCGCTCTTTGAAACGTCAAAAGGGCCCGAAGAAAACGATCAGCTCGCTCGGATCGGTCGGGCTCCTGGCTGGGGCCCGTGCTGAAGCTGAGAACGTTGGGGGACACCTGCTGGGTGGACATGACAGCCAGCTGGGCACCTGGGCACCCAACATGAGAACTTTTGGTCATTTCACTTCTGTCGGGTACCACTAACATGGGTTTCCCGTCTGAAACCGCACAGAGTCCTTGTCGAACGCCTAAGGTCTTCCCAAAAAGCTTCAAGTCCAGAAACTCCGGGAGGAAGCCCCACTAAGTGTGACTAACATTGACTTTTGATTCTACCAACACGGCTATTCAGAATTGAGGCCGGCCTTATAGTGTCACCGCAAACTAAGGCATTGTGAGCCGGCTTGCCCACGGTTGGCTCCGAAGCTGATTTCTGCCCATGGCTTAGCTTTGGCTTTTCGCCGCTTGGTTGGTCATTACCTATTTTTTTACGAAGTGGGTTGAATTTCCAGCCAAAAGCAATTTGGGAGTTCCAAATTAATCTAGTGGACCTGTTCGCCCAACTCAGATCGGGGACAGAGCAAACATCGCAGGCGGGACATCTAGCTTTCGCCCCAAGAATCAGTTGGTCTCCCTAAACAACCCACCCAACAAATACCCAAGAACAAACACTCCCACAGCCCAACAAAACCACGTTAGTTCAGAAACACGGGGTCCAAACTCCAACCCAATCTCAAAGCTCAAGGCAAGAAAGTCCGCCTCCATACCACTAGGGCTCAACTTTGACAAAGATCCTACAACATACAAGCACAGCACCCACTACCTACCAGGCTAAAGCCCCACTTCCTGCCGGGGTGCTTTTACTAATCACCCACTATTGCCAAATTGCGATGATACTTGCCCACTACCTACCAGGGTATGTTGGCCAACCAGCCACTACCTAGCAGGATGTGTTGCTCTTATTTACTATTAGCTTCTTTCTTAGATGGTTTCCACTACCCCAAGCCAGCAATTAAGAGAACATCAAGGGCATAACACAAAACAACGTCCAAACATGTCAAGGTTAGTCACCCCCACTTTTTGCCTGTTGTGGCAGTAGTTGGGGGTGAACATCCTCTCTTGCCAAGAAGAAAAAACACGAAATGACCGTTCCTGTCTCCATCCATGGCCCTCGATGCAAAGGCACAGGCGCGCAGCCACTGGGAGGAGTTCTCGCAGGCACTGATGACGCCTTCGATCTGGTCGACTGACATCAGATCGACTCGTAAGGGGAAAACGTCGAAAGACCGTGTTTTGTTGATCATGTTCCATCACAAATCACATCCCCACCAACACCCGCTCTCAAGAAACAAAGGGAAACGCCAAAGGGTGGATCAAAGAGTGGAACTTGTGGGGACATGATCCTTGTTTTCAGAAGGTAAACATACTTTTCGGCGGAACCCTTTGGTGGACATCGGAATAATGATCACGTGGTTGTGCGGTTGATTGAATGTTACGCTGATAATTCCCAGAAATAAATCGATAGCAGTCATTTCACAGTTTGGATAGAATTTGGACTAGACTAGAACAGATAGTATAGTAAATACAAACTCCATCAAAGTGATCTATACACCTCACCGGATTCGACCATCAACAAATGAAGCATTCGCAGGTCATGGCCAGTCTCATTCAAAACCAACAGGGAACCACGAGCACTTGCATTTTCCAACAAAAGCTTCAAATAGCCTTGGCCCTGCGTATCTGGATTGCTGCTCTCCGACCGCGTTGCTTGGGTTACCCTGGATACCTCGGAGTGGCTCTTTGGACACAAGTTTTGGGGTGCGCTCCATTTTTTGGAATTGGGGGTGGTTTGGACGCAAAAAATGACCGGTATGCATCAATTTCCTAGACTCTAGGTTTGCAATCGGTGAATGGTGCATGCCATATTTTACACCAAGCCGAAATCTCATTTTTGGGGTATGCACCAATTGCCTTAAAGCTCGTGGTACCCAGACTGCTGCAGCTACCCCCGAAGTGGCCACTGCACAAGAATGTTGTGGACACCATCCTTCAAAAGTCTGTGTTGGGTGCCGTTTCCCCGCTCATCGCAGTTCCCCTTTTAAAGCGACATGAAACGCAGTGGCCATTCGGCCATTTGATTCGAGCCTGAGAGGAGCTTGCCAGATGCTCAACGCGGCAGAATTATCCAGAATCCATAGACAAAAAAATGCAGTGGTATGCTGAAAAGGGTTTCTCTGCAAACAATGGGGAGAATGTCCTGGGAGCGACCAGCTGACATGTCGATGAGAAATAATCAGGATTAGGATTGCAGTATTTCTATTTACCTTGTGTACCTCTTGGAATCACATTCTTCTTACCTATCTCCTGCTCCCGGATTTCTACGTCATAGCGTCTGTATTCTTGAGTTTCTAGAGCTAGGAAGCTTTGATTAGTTGGTGAGGGATTGACCGCTTATTCAAGATCCATCCGCACTCATCCATCTCTTTCCTCCATCATTCATCAAGCTGTATGTTTAAACTACTCCCAAGACTAGAGACGCCCCAAATGTTGTGCCCAAAGAGCGTGAGCTACTTTCTCATGGTGCCCTTTCGAGCATACCAACTAGCCTTAAATCTTGCAGCCCCTCCTATGAATATCCCCAAACACCTAAGCAAGCTGTTGTTGAAAAAACAACAACAGCAGGATGCTTGGGTTACCCTCATTACCCTCAGGCGAGCGCGGTATTTGATCCTATGAGCTTGAAGCTTGAGACCGCTCCGACCCCCTGGCAAAAATTATTATGTTGTTGCTGGTTGAAAGGAGAAACGAAGGAACACCACAAGAGGGACAATGAACACCATGCTTATTTAGAGGAATATGGTTTGGGGGCCCCCTTCTTTTGGGTTCCATGTCAGCCAAACCCTGGTGAAACGGTCTGCCCAAAACCCATGGTAAAGAATCAAACCGGCGGCTGCACCCTTCATCTACCCGGGATTTGATGGCTCACGTCAATTTACCATGGGAGGTCTGGAGACGGAAGGTCGAAGCCAAGCTGCTGCTGGAGCAAACCACTCCAGAACCGCCCTGCTGGACGGCCCTTCGCCACAGAGCGGCCTACAGGGAAAGCTGCAACCTGTTGGGGAAACCCAAAAGGACGACTTTTTCATGAGGGGATTTAAAGGAAGAAAGCTGTCCTTTTGGGGAACCCGGAACACAAATGAAAGTATCTCCTCTTTTAAGGTGGACTTCATTCCATGAGAACCCCTCCCGTCCTTTTGTATCCTTTCAGATTTCTGTCAATTGGGTGGAACCATTTCACCAATTGAGTCCCTTTGCAAAGGGTAGATGCCCGTCTCATGGTCTTATGGTCATTCTCAGGCCGTGGCTGAAAGGGCTACGTGCAAAAGCGCACCTTACATCTAGCTTGCACCCTTAACCGACCGAAAACAGGAGGCTTTTCAAGCAAAATAGCAATCCCTCTTTGGAACGACTTGAACACAACGCAGGTCTCTCCACGTTTCAGAGACATCCAGTCATAGGATCCTTGTCTTGCCTAAATCGCCCTGATTCCAAAAAAGGGAGCCCTTTGAATGTAAGACTGGAAACTTCCAAATGGCTCTTCTGCTAGTTGGTGCGTGATCCAAGAGCGGCCATCTCTGAAAGCCAATTTCGCTCATCGCCGAAAGCAATGACTGGGTGCTAAATAGGGCTTCCCTTTGAGGACACTAAGCAAGTATGGGCCATTTTACAGGGAACCCAAGACTGACAAACCTCCATTTGACCAAGAAGAGGTGGCCCACCTTCATGCTGGGGAAGATCACAACGACCAGGCGGATGTTTCGGGGTTGACAGTGGCACCCAAGTCATGTCAAAAGAGCTCTCCAGGCTAGCGCCCTTGGCTTTCAACTCACTTACGTAGGTTGTAACCATGCTGGTATGGCCACTAACCCTATTTACCCCAATTGCGATGATGAAATCACCTCATCACTAAACGGGGCAAACATCCCAGCATGCTCTTGACCGATAATTGATCGAAGGCCCCCAGCGTCCCGGGCCCCGACACTTTTGAAGTTTCAAACCACGTAAATTAAGTAGCTTAACCCTGTGCTTTGCCGGGTTTAACTACGTGGGGTCAGCTGGCGCCCGAGGCTCGCCTCCCCCAGCGCCGCCAGCTGCGTGCCGCTCGTCTGCTCGCTGCGGCGCAGCCCGGCGAGGCCCAGCGCAGCAAGCAGCGAGAGGCTGAGGCGCCAGGCGGCCCTCGCGGCCGCGGCGCCGCTGTTGAAGCCTCCGCGGCGCATGGGAAACATTGACATGTGGGTATGGGTCAAAATTAATGGATACCCATTCTTGACCCACAAACATGTGTCATGCTTCACTTCTCGAGATTTCGATGGGTCAAAACAAAACGAGAACACAAGATTGATACACCCGGAATGCTTCACTTTGGGAGGCCACAAATGTTTTTTCATGCTTCACGTTCTCACCGATTGAGTGGATTGGCCATAGAAAGATCTGACTTTTTTGGTTTACCACCAAGACGGTCTGCCCAAAAAGCTGAAAGTCCAGGACGTCAGGGCCTCAGGGGGTGAGCTTTTCGAGGGTTTGATGGGAACAAAATGAGAACTGATTGGCACGCCCGGAATGCTTCACTTTGGAAACATAAGTTATGCTTATAGGTTTGCAGGTGTCTCACCCTCAAGGGCTTCTGCAGGTCCTTGGCTTTCCCAAGAGGGCCTAAAGGGATTGATCCGGACGACCATACCAATCAAGGGTGGCTCCACTATAAGCCAACAACTCTGTTTGGGGCGTTGTTCTGATTTAGCAAGAACATTTGGATTAATCCGGAGTCAACCTCCGGCCAGCGCGACAGGTTTAATTGAGACACACCCCTCGGTTTCGAAGTTGCGGGGGGGGTCTGAGACGTTTACACGCCTGGCTCATGTCCCGAGGAAGACTCAGTTGGGCTCTCTTTTTGCCAGGGCACCCAGGCCCGGTATGCCCAACAAGCGGTTTTCAAAAACACTGTCTCGGTAATCTGGGGTGGCTATCTCGTCTCACAGGCAGATCTCTAGTGTTGATTTGCGGTGCTCTGGTCGTATCAATTCGTATTAGACTGTCGGAGAATTGGTCGGTCGATGTCGGTCGCTCAGAAAACACCACCACAAACCGTTGCAGCCCCGCCCCGTGCCTTGTTTTCCGGCGGAAGCGCTATGGTTAAGAGTTTGGATTGCAGGGAACCTCTGGAAACAGTAGAATAACTATTTAGCAAAAAATAGCAACAAAATTAGCAAATTTAAATTGCACTGGAACTATATTTTTTGCAAATGCGTTCGCCAAGCGCTGGCCAAGATTAGCAAAAATTAGCAAAAGTTAGTAAACATTAGGAACCATTAGCAAAAAATAGCAACCCTCTCGCAAAATGAGCTTCCAGGGGGCCAAAACCACGAGAGGTTTGCTAAATATTGCTATTTTTTGCAAATGTGTTCGCCAAGCCCTGGTTAAGATTTGCAAAAATTAGCAACCCTCTCGCAACATGAGCTTCCAGGGGGCCAAAACCACGAGAGGGTTGCTAAATATTGCTATGTTTTGCAAATGTGTTCGCCAAGCCCTGGTTAAGATTTGCAAAAATTAGCAACCCTCTCGCAACATGAGCTTCCAGGGGGCCAAAACCACGAGAAGGTTGCTAAATATTGCTATTTTTTGCAAATGTGTTCGCCAAGCCCTGGTTAAGATTTGCAAAAATTAGCAAACATTAGTGAACATTAGTAAAAATTAGCTAAAAATAGCAACCCTCTCACAAAATGAGCTTCCAGGGGGCCAAAACCACGAGAGGGTTGCTAAATATTGCTATTTTGTGCAAATGCGTTCGCCAAGCCCTGGCCAAGATTAGCAAAAATTAGCACAAATTAGCAAAAATTAGCAAAAAATAGCAAACGCGCTCAGTGAAGGAGGTCCATCATTGTTGCAGGAGCAATGCCATTCAGCATTGACCGTTGCTGCCGTCACTGATTGAAATTGCTAAATGAAAGCCCAGCTCAAAGCTGTTGCAATCTAGAAGTGCAAAATGGAAATCCACCTGACCTCGATTGCAATTCTCCGTTGCAATCCAATTACTATTTTTTGCTAAAATAATTCCCGGAGACCCCTTCAATGGTTGCCAGTCTCCCAACTCTTAACGCTATGGCAAGCCGAGCGGGCTTTCCAGCAGCCCAAAGGGCAGACACACTACTCGCACAGTCATCTTGCTTTGGTGGGGGAAACGCAACTGTGCGAGAAGCGCGGCGTGTCAAGGCTGGCAAGTTGCGGCCCCAGCAAGCCGATCAGAAACCCTTGTTCGAGCAACCAAGGCCACTCACTATCGCCAAAAGCGTCATGGCAGCCTGAGTGAAGAAGGTATGGTTTGGCTGATATGCGTGGTCTGAGTGAAACTCAATCTCAACAGAAACGCCCAATGTCTTTCTCTGACAAAAACCACCTTGGGTCAGCCCAAAGTCGCAAGCGTTGCGGGCTACGCCTGATGGGCTATAGAATGGTAACGGCGGAAAATGCAGAATCCGGGGCAGACAGCGACGTGACCCGAGTGCGGGCCTTTCTGCGTCAAGGAAGTTGGGGCGCCGTGCCTTGCGTTGCAAGGACAAGATCTCCAGCGGTGGCGTTCAAAGGCGTGTTGGCGCCCAAACTTTTCAGAAACCATCCAGGCAAGATCCAAAGCAATGATCCAATGCTCTGAGGCACGGTCCTGTTGGTGTGGCTCAGTCTGAGCGTCGCCTTCAACCGAAATCTTGGCGGAAGCCATCCAGGCAAGATCCAAATCCATGTCCGACCCACAGCTCTCAGTCACAGTCCTGTTAATGTGGCTTCAGCGTCGTTGAGGTCAAGCATCCACCTTTTGGACGGGTTTCTTCAACAACAGACAGCCCCAGAATGCTCCAACGATTCATCGCATTCTCTAAGAGATCCTGGAGCACCCTTCGTTACCTAAATTTCTGCCCTTAGCCCAAACGTGTTGCAAAACCAGGGGTCGTCACCAAAATACGGTAAATGTACACATTTTCCTGCTTCGAGCGTTTTTCCAAAAACCGGGCTGGTCATGGCTGGTCGGTCCTCCAAGATGATCGGTCGCTGGATTTTCGAAAGGAGCGAACAGAATTCGAAGTGCAAAACGAGCGCAAGTATCCGCAAAACGAGCGCAAATATCCGCAAACGAGTGCAAATTCAAAAAACGTAACAATGCCCGCCGTCCTCTGGATGGAAGAAGGGATTTGGTCGAGCGTTTCTCGGGGTGCGAGCGTTTTTTGCGCGGTCGAGCAGAAATCGGTAGTTCGAGCGTTTTTTCTCGTACCTAAAAAAAGGCACGTTGGGTGCCTCAGGACTGTTCATGTTTTGCCTCGATGGGCAAGCTGATGAGACGGCCAGCAGTTTTCTCGCTCGAGCACAAGACTCGAAATCAAGCACTTTTTTGCGTCAAGGTCACTCTTCGCTGCTGCTTTCAAAAACTTCAGACGACACCTGCCCAGCAGCCTAGAAGCAACGCTACGTAGTAATCGGCAAGTCTTGCGTTCTGCACCATGCTTGAGCCAAGCTGGGCTTTGCGTGATGACAACTCGTTCTCTTCACTTCAGCGCACAGGACTTTCTTAGTCCTTGATTTTGCATCGGTGGATCAGTCTTGCGCTAGTGATCTCGGCTCCAAGAAACCTTCCATGGAGGCCGGAGGCAGTGAGGCTGGCCACCCGAACGCGAAATCCACCGGCCTTCGCCTGCCAAGCTAACTAGCGCACTTGAAGCCGAACATGTCAAAGTGCTTATAGCGGATCTTCAGGCACCTTTCACTCAGAGCATCTTCGGGGTGCTGTTGGAAAATGCTGCGTAGCCACTGGCTATCGCACAGGCACCTGTCTCGAAACTGCACATAATGAGGGGCCGTTGTTGCAGTTGAATGCGTGAACGATGCCTTCAGGTCTCCATACGGCTGTAATCAGTGCATATTGCCAACACGTGAAACTTCAGACTGCAGATCAAGAAACTACAAGGCCAAACTGGCTGCGCGTTGTCCGGCGGATAGTTGTCTGGCGACCCTTCTAGGGGCTCTCCTGCTCTTGAAGAATTCTAGGTGAAATTCAAAATGACATGAGCCAGCTCACATCTCTCAAGTTCAACTCTATGCTGTCACAACGATGGCGAGAGACTTTCACGAACTGTAGATCAAAGTTGCCAACATCGCCCCGGAGCAGCGTTGCCTGGGCTCTCTTTTTTCGGCCACCGTGGCACGACTGCCAGGCATCGAGATCTAGTTGTTACCCCTGAAAGACTCCAGCGTGCGCACACACACAGACACACGCACGCTAACACCCACACACACACACACCACACAAAAAACAGGCAAGCGGCGCGGCGAAGGGCAACGGACACACACACACACACACCACAAGGCAAGGATATCTCGGACCCTTGCCCAAAAAGAGCGGGCGTTCGGGCGTTCTCACAAAAGTGGCAAAGTGTGGCCAGTGTGGCTGATATGTCGCTGAGATGGGTGGTCTGAGGTGGAATGAAATGGGTGGTCTGAGGCTAACCTCGGGGTACCGACCGCCACAAAAACCACCCCCGTACACGTAGCAACTTGCTACTGAGACAGCTGGCGGTCTTACTGGGTTTGCGGGAGACGTCGCCCTGTCTATGACAGCGTTTGGAGCCCTGCTTGAAAAATGAATTCGCGCATCCACCTCGCTTTGGGGGCAAGTGCCCTGTCACGACTTACCAACCTCGTTTTAGCAATCCCCGATGAGGAACCCTCATCACAAGTGAGGAGTTGCAAAAACAGAGGTCTGCAACAATTCAATGGCGAAACGTGTTGAAAGTGAATCCCCGAATTCGCCTCAGTTTTCAGGCCCCCTTGGTCCAGCTGCCCTGACCACCCCGCAGCCGCACGCCCTGGTTCCTGTTGACTTCTCCAAGACCTTTGTCCAGAGCTCCCAGCCCCCAGCATCATTTGCTCAAGCCCGCATTGCTCTTGCGGTTCTTTTGAGCCTGGCCGACACAGGCAGTGCGCAGCGTTTACAAGAACGTTCACCATGGGGTCCGAAGTTAAAATGAAAGCCCGCAATGTGCCCAAACAGCATATGCTGGAAAATGGCCTTTAAAAGAAGGATGCCCGGTCTCTTCCGGTGTCACAAGAACAAGCGCGCTTGTATGATGGCACGGGAAACTGGGTTCCCAATAGAGACACATACCTATATACATGGGTCTTCCAACATGTGCAACATGTTTTGAGGAACGGTGTGAATTTCACATGGCCGTAAGGTCCAGGCATGTATATTTCGGGATCCGCGGGTGTTCTTTCCCCGCCGAGGGGCTGATGGCAGAGGGCGCATGGCCTTGAAGCAACTGCAGCGCTGGGCGCCAAATGGCTCGGGTCTCGCAGGAGGCAATCGCCGAGCCGTAGACGATGACGTTGCTGTCCTTGGTTCTTTCGCTTGTTTTTTCTTGCTTGGCCCTCTGTACGCAGAAGAGAAAAACGAACATTTCAGAAAGCGTTTGTATTCAGTCAACTTCAACCCTGAAATCTAAATCTAAATGAAGGGTTTGGAGGAGTCCCCCGGCTTGTCTGTTTTTAAGGGTAATTGCCCTTTTTGAGGTGGCACGAGTGTCCATGGGTGAATTAAAGGAAGCCAACTAGAACCGCGTAAATTAAGGCTCCCCCTTGGAGACAAACCACCTACACCACTGATGGACGAGCCATGGAGAACAAATGCCACTGCTTTCTTGGTGAGACAATACTCTCAAATCCCATGCCGATAGCTGGATGGATGTCCTTCAAAGTGAGCCCAAGATCTCTGGTTTCCCCTACCCCGAAGGGCGAATCGGAGAAAAGCCGGTATATTCTGCTTGCAATATCGCATAAACACCCTATGCTGCAGGCAGTGGTTTGTGGGTAATGGACATCATCATGGGCAAGAGAAACCAAAACAACACAGGAATATTTGCCTGAAAACAAGGGAAGCTCACCTTGAATGGGGGAAACAGTGATGCTTAAAGCCACCAACACAGGAACCATCGGCGCGCCTGAAACATGCGCTGAAATGCTCTCTCTGAGCCTGCACCGAGCCTCCACTGCTTCACTTCTCATGGCTCTCATCACATCCAGCGCAAGGAACCAGTTGTCCTCAAGGAAGTGTTCATCAACGGGTCGTGCTTTAGTTGAGGGAACCCATTTGGGCTGGTTCAACAGGGAAACCAACAGGCAACCAACCAGATTGAGGATTTGAGGAGACCATGTTTCAATCGTTTGCTCTCCAAATTGACGTCTGGAACCTCCAATGTGATACCAAAGTGGTCCCATCCTGTGACTACCTTAAGTGGGGGTCGAATCCTTGTCTCCTTGCAGGAAGTGGGATTTCACCAAATTCATATTTCCCAAACCCACACCTCTCACGTCAGGTCCCCATAAAGCAAGCATATTGAAATGTATTACACTGTTTCAAGACTGGCTCGCTTGACTGTGAGGTCCCTGCTCTTGGTTTCATCCGTCAGTCTTTCCAGTGACTCCCTGTTTCACCCCTTTCCCAGCGTTTCAGTTGGTCCTCTAGGGACTTGATGGCACTTCCAAAGGACACCGCGCTGAGGCGCACCAATGACCGCTGCAGAGACCCAAAGCGGTGGACGGCGCCAGCCCAGCCCTCTGAGATCCTCGTTGTCTTTTCACGGACTCCCGAGATGCTCCTTGAAATACTCGGGATGGACGAAATCCGATTCGCACCACACAAGACGATTCCCCTGTAAATACCAACAAACAATGGTTACTCATGGTTTCAAACTGGTGCGAACTGGATTTTGTCCACAGTATCATGGTCAGCAAGCCACACAGAACTCCGGGGAAACATCACCCAGGAGGCAAAGGTCTCTGGCCTTACAAAACACCAGCCCAAGGCAAAGCGCGCATCGGTCTGGCTCGGCGAATCCCATGCCGAGGCTCAGAAGGCAGTTGTAGCTGATCACATCAGCGCGCACACCCGAGCACAACATGGAGCCGAAGGTGTCAATGGCCGAGCCCCACTGGGCGCGAGCCAGCGTGTTGAAGGAAATCACGTCCTGAGGAATCCAAACCTGATGGTTAAGCGGGGCCCCGAAAAGCCAAAGAATCAAAGGAACTTCCAAGGGGTCCTAAAAGCCAAAGAATCAAAGGACGGAAGCTTGCCGCGCCAATGCTTACTTGGATGTTCAGCCCACTTGAGTGGGTTCTGTAACATAGTACCTTGAGTGGGTTGAACTTGTAAGTAGATCTGATCCGAGCATCAGCTTGGACGACCCCAGCCATGTGCTCAGTGAGGACCACTTGCGCATGCTGCCAGGAACGCTCCTGCCACAAAGCAGCCAGCGGCCAGAAACACATGCACCCCGGTTTGTTGGCGGCAAAAGGCTGGCAACGTCTAGGACCCATAAAGTAAATGTCAAATCGAGGTTGGCATTTAACTTCAGAAAACAGCGACAACAAATGTTTCATATTCAGTCTACCCTAAACACAGATACTAATTTGGATTTTGGATACCCCGACAACAAAATCCAAGCTACGTCTGTCAAGGATGCGCCGTATCAAGCCTGCGCCCAGGTACTGATCATGCTGTTGCAGCCGATGAGTGTTGGCACCAAGCCCTTCCTTCCTCGGCTGAAGGTATCCCGATGCTCCGATTTTGCGTAATGCATAGTGGGACCTCAAAAAAAATGCAAGGGAACCATATCCTCTTTTCATACGCCTTGCCCTGGGTTGTTCAATAGGGAGGGGGATTCCTGTGTCATCCGAATCCGTAATTCATAGTGGGACCTAACACAAAAAGAAAAATACGTTTCCCTTTGGAATAAGGCTTCACTTGCAATCAAAGGCATGTCTTCACATGTCTTGAAATGTCTCCGCATTCTACCCCTTGGGGGAATTCGGGCTTAGTTGGGTTCATGCTGATCCCATTGAGTGGAAAGCAATACGGATCCCTTCCGGAACAGGTTGCACACTCCCATTTGCCAGGAATTACCAAACTCCTAGGGGTACTACCACGCCTCCAACGAGGTACCTGCATGCCTGCATCAAATCAGATCCATTCAACCCCACCATCAAAACCCAGAAAGCACCAAGGACGGATGGGAGTCCAGCCGCCGTGCCTGAGGTTTGGGGTGGGCCCTTTTTTCCCCCAACAAATCCTCACTTGCGTCGGCCTTTTTGGGGACTTGGTACCCCTGTTTTGGCGTTTTTACAGGACAGCCAAAAGATTCAAAAGAACAAGCACCCATTTTGCCGGTCCCCAAAAACACACACAAACTTGCATGTTCAATCCACATCATGGTAACCAGGTGTTTTACCACGGTCACGGCGGAACTAGCCCCAGGCCCCAGTTACCCCAGCTATAACCCATGGAGTCCAACCCTACCTGACGTGGGTTGAACACACAAAGGGGTCTATCTATCAAATAGGAAGCCCTCCATGACTGGCTTCCTTTGGGCGCTTCCACCTTCAAGAGACAGACCAAAGGTGCCCCACAATCACCAGTTCTTGCCTCCCGCCCCCATTCACCCGGGAAGTCCGTGAGTATCCTCTTCCTGATATTTTGGCGCTCGCTGCCCGCGCTGTCGTCCCCTCCTAGGTCCTCCAGATTTGAGAGGTTAGAATAAGGGTGCCCTTTTTTCTGCAGTCTATTTCAGTGGGGGTTTCTCCTCCCAACCCAAAAAAGGGTGAGAAAGGGCACCAATTGCTGGGGAACCTAGTCAAAGCTACCCACTTGAAAGTGGCAACCTAGACCCCCGAGTTTCCACGACGACCAAAAACGGGAGGGACCCCATCAGGCCTCCGTACAAAACACAACGGCCCAAGACCCAACTCGAGCGTCGCAGCTTGGCGAAGACCTCCAGGCCCCGGCGCCAGCGGCTGCGGCAGCTCCGGATGGAGCTGTGCAAGGTCGCCTGGCACGGGCGGCCTTTCCGCGCCCGAAGCGGAGTCTCGGAGGAGACGCGCGACCATTCTAGTGCTACCTTTCCCATTCTTTCCAGGGATCCTTCTTCTCGAAAACCTCCGGAAACCCATGGAAACGGATCAGGTTTTCCAAGAGAACGATGGTTGGAAAGAATGGTGAACCACCCCTTAGAACCATGCGGTTGGAACTCCAAGTCAGACGTGAGGCTCGATACTCTTTTCACCTTGGCTGTCCTTCGAAACTTGACAAATACCCAGGGTGTGCAAAACAGGGAAACCCATAAAACGGTGGTTTCCCTCTTGATCTCTTTTAAAACCAACCCTCAGAAGGCTACCGTCAACAAAAACACACGCCCGGGTGGAAAAAAATAGTGAGCTGCCTGATTGCGGCGAATTTGGTGAGTCCCCCATGTCCTTCACAATTGCACACCAAACCTATAGCTACAAGAAGCTGCGGAACCCAATGCCCCAGTTCCACAACTTCGCGGATCAGTGGAACTAAGACTTTTGGTACACAAGTTCCTCTGCACATCCCACTAGCACAGCACCTGTGCGAATCAATTTCACGAAGCAGTAGGGAGTAGGTCCGGTTTCAGTGCGCAGCTCGAGCCTCGAGGTCGTAAACACCATGGGAACCCTGCTCCTCCATGGAGCATTTTTTGTCTTGGAACTTTCGCCCTGGACTCGCCCTTTCACAGGCAGAGATTCTCTTCTACCAGCAAATCCAAAGTATTGCCGGCGCTGCTCTCTCTCTCTCTCTCTCTCTCTCTCTCTCTCTCTGGTTTTTGCGGGAGGGCCAAGGTTGAACCGAAGCCGAAAGCAAAACACACGTGGTGCGCAACCCAACCCAGTGACACAAAACTGCTCAAGTCCAGATGGCAACATCTGGATTGAAATGCCACATTTTTGTTTGTTCCCCCCCGTTTCGCGCAAGTCGACCCTCCCCTGGCCCTCCCCACCTTGTCAGGGTGCACTTGAATGCCCTCGAGCACCTTCAAGACTTGCCTGCACTGTAGGAGAAGTCTGGAGTTCAGGACAGAACCCCAGATGCCCAGTGGATTTCCATGGGAAAAAAGGGCATCCGGTTTTGGTTGGTTGACTTTGAAGAGGAACCCTTCCCAAAAGGAAAAAAGGGCACCACTGGGCAACTGGGCAAAACTAGATAGAACAAAACACACCCACAGCAGCCACACCAGCCAAGGGCACTGACAGCACTAGGTTCAAATATGACCCTCTCGACGGCAACAACAGCACAAATCAGCAACCGCAAAAAACAACTGAAACAAACAAACCCAACAAACCAGCACATTCACCAACGACAAGGCCCAACATTCCCGAGTTTTCCCACGTCTTAAAAGAAAGAAGAAGAAAAAAACGCCCCGAAGCACGGCCCATCATTCTCTCCGAGCTGCAGAGACTCGCGCCAGCCGGGACTTCGGCTGGGAAGGGCGAGCGCGTTGAAGTCATAGGCGCGGAACTGGGCGCGGCCGCGGCGGAGCTCCTGGATGGCCTGGGAGGCTGCCGGCTTGGGTCAGGCAGGCCGACGTTTGGGCTCGGAAGGAATGGGGCTGGACTACTAGATCGTGTGGTGGTTATGCTAAAGTCTAGTAGACCTTATAACCTGACTTATAGAGGTTGTGCTAAGTTCTACCGTAAGTTAACTTGAGAGACTTACTGTAACTAACTTATAAGGTGTTTAGGCTAAGTTCCCTAAGTTCCCTAAGTTCAAATAAGTTCAAGTTCGCGGTCAAGGAGGAGAGCCCAGAAAAACCTGATTTTGGCATGGATGACGACGAAGCGAAAACGCAAATTGCGCATATTCATGAGCTCGCAGTGTTGAAATTAAGGGGGTGCATGTGCAGACGCGTGTCTCGCTGATGCTTGCGCTTTGCGCCGCAGCCGTTGTGTTTTTTTTTGGTGCGTGCTCTGCGCGGCCTTTGTCGCAGCGGCGTATAGGTCCATGGCGACTACAGCACGATGCCCACGTACTTCCCGCGCTGCTTCGTCGTGGAGGAGCTCGTGCAGCAGCCACACGCCGCGCGCCTCGAGGAGATGACGCGGTTCCTGGAGAGGCCCGGTCTTTGCGCCCAAAGCGAGCAAACGTTCGGGGTCATGGCGGCGGCGCTTCTTGCAGTGTAGGGAGACGATGCGCCCTTCGAGAGCTGCCGCGCCTACGATCTCTTCTTGTACGTGAAGTGCTTCTGGCGGAAGGGTGCCCGGCACGCTCAAAGCCGACGCAATGGGTTCAGAGGTTGCCGGAAGATCCTTTCAGCGGGATTACGGGGCGACTTTTACGGACGTCTTTGACAAGATGCAGGCCGCCGACGTCGTGCGCAGCGTGACAACGCGCGTGCTGATGAGGCGCACGAATAGAGCCCTTTTTCTGGGCGGCGGCCAGGCAGACGGCGGGAATTTGTCCGCGTGGAACCGCAGCCCCCAGCGGGCCGCCAGCAGCAGCTGCGGGAGGCTGCGGCGGCCATGCTGCAGCAAGCGCTGCTTGGGCTGCAGGCTGGGATGCAGCCGGCGCAGCCGGTGGTCGAAATCCTTCCGCGGAGAAAGCCCGCCACTTTGAGCGGGCTCACGGGTCAAGTGCGTGATGTCATGGGGCGCTGCCCAGCGCTGGCCGACGCTTCGGAGGCGGAGATGGAATCGCGGCCAGTGGCGCGGCCACTCGCGAGATACCGGACACTTAGTCTGATCTTAGTATCTATTGTTTCTTCTATTAGGAAGATACTAAAGATTAAAGAATAAAATAAACAATGCACAAATTAAAGAAAAAATAAAAAAAAAGAAAAACAAGTTAAACAAGAATGAGTACAGATTCAAAAAAGCCTGTAAAACAGATTAAACAACGAAAACAAAAAGATATAAAAAGATAAGCTCATGTGCAGAGTTGCAAAGAGCTTCCCCTTAAGCAGAAGAACAGTTGCAACATGCAGTTAGCAAGGGGCCGGATGAATCAATAGTTGCGACTTTCGTGCTGGAACTGCGGAGGTGTCAAGCACTTTTCTCTCATGACAGACTAACAAGAGCCCCTGTTACATACCTCCTTGCCAAGATTCGCGCTGCGTCGGACGTCACATACCTTTACAAAGTCATAGACATATATAATCGTTTCCGAAGAACGGCATCATCCTGGCGCAGTACAATATGTACTTGTTACAGTGAAATAAGTATCTGAGAATCCCCAAACGTAAAAAACAAAGAGGAAAAGCCTGGCTTTGGAAAGAAGAGGTTTGGAGCGGGCCGCTTTTTCCACTTAGTTTGGGTTTGTGGTTCTAGTTTCATTTATGGTTTGGAGGGGGCCGCTTGTATCCGCTTGTTCATTTAGTTTGGGTAGGCAGTTTGCAGGGGGCCGGTTTTCCGTCAGTTTCGGTTGCTGGTTTGGAGGGGCCATTTGATTCATTTAGTTTTGGTTGGTAGTTTGGAGGGGCCCACTGTTTCCATTTGGTTTGGGTTGCTGGTTTGGAGGGGCCGCTTGTTTCATTTAGTTTGGGTTGGTTGTGTGGAGGGGCCGTTTTTCCTTTTAGTTTGGGTTGATGGTACTAATTTCACGTAATTTTCGTCGGTGGTTTGGAGGGGTCTGCTTTTCCATTTGATGTATTGGGGGGCGGTTTTCCATTAGTTTGGGTTGCTGGTTTGGAGGGGCCGTTTGTTTCATTTAGTTTGGGTTGGTTGTGTGGAGGGGCCGCTGATTTTTTTTAGTGCAGGTTGATGGTTCTAGTTTTTTTATTCAATTTTCGTTATTGGTTTGGAGGGGGCCGGTTTTCCATTAGTTTCGGTTGCTTGTTTGGAGGGGCTGTTTGATGCATTTTGTTTGGCTTAGTAGTTTGGAGGGGGCCGCTTTTTCCATTTGGTTTGGGTTGATGTTTGGAGGGGCTGCTTGTTTCATTTAGTTCGCGTTGGTTGTGTGGAGGATTTTTCCCTTTAGTTTAGGTTGATGGTTCTAGTTTCAGGTGGTTTGGAGGGGGCCGCTCTTCCATTTGCTGTACTTTGGGTTTGTGGTTTGGAGGGAGCCGTTGTTTCATTAGTTTTGGTTGTTGGTTTGGAGGGGCCGCTTGTTTCATTTAGTTAGGGTTTGTTGTTTTGAGGGGCCGCTTGTTTCATTTAATTTGGGTTGGTGGCAGTTACCCAAGTTGGGTCGCTCAAGTCATGCTTCTTTACTTGGGAATTTTGCAAAAACATATTAAGTCAACATCCAGGGTCCCTCGAATCCTAGCTCCTGATTTGGGGAGACCAACAAAGTTCAAAACACCGGGCCCCAAAGTGATGTTTCTTGACTTGGGGAGTTCAAAAAGTTCAAAAAGCTCAAAACACCGGGCCCCCACAGTGCCCGACAGCGATGTTTCTTTACCTGGGGAGATCAAAAAACAAAAAAAACAAATGCAGCGGCTTTTTTCGCAGTTGGTTTTTTTCAAGGCCTGTCACTGGCCGGCGTGGTCGGCCTGCTGCTTTTCATGGAGTGGGATTTCTTCAGTAGAGCTTCCCATTTGCTTGTTGTCTCTAGCTGCCTGTTTTTTCGTGAAGGTGCTTTTTTTCAGGGCCTGTCATTGGCCTGCTTGGTGGGCCTGCTGTTTTCTTGAAGTTGGATTTTTCCGTTGGGCTTCTAGTTTGCTTGTTGTCTCTAGCTGCCATGTTTTTTTGTGAAGGTGGATTTTGTTCAGGGCCTGTCGCTGGCCTGCTTGGTCGTCCTGCTGCTTTTCTTGAAGTGGGACTTATTCCTTTGGGCTTCTAGTTTGCTTGTTGTGTGTGGCTGCCAGTTTTTTTGTGCAGTTGTTTTTTTCAGGGCCTGTCACTGGCCTGCTTGGTCGGCCTGCTGCTTTTCATGGAGTGGGATTTCTTCAGTAGAGCTTCCCATTTGCTTGTTGTCTCTAGCTGCCATATTTTTTTGGTGAAGGTGGATTTTTTCAGGGCCTGTCACTGGCCTGCTTGGTCGGCCTGCTGCTTTTCTTGAAGTTGGATTTTTTCCATTGGGCTTCTAGTTTGCTTGTTGTCTCTAGCTGCAATGTTTTTTTGTGAAGGTGGTTTTTTTTCAGGGCCTGTCGCTGGCCTGCTTGGTCGGCCTGCTGCTTTTCTTGAAGTGGGATTTTTTTGATTGGGCTTCTAGTTTGCCTGTTGTGTGTGGCTGCCAGTTTTTTTTGTGCAGTTGTTTTTTTCAGGGCCTGTCACTGGCCTGCTTGGTCGGCCTGCTGCTTTTCATGGAGTGGGATTTCTTCAGTAGAGCTTCCCATTTGCTTGTTGTCTCTAGCTGCCATATTTTTTGGTGAAGGTGGATTTTTTCAGGGCCTGTCACTGGCCTGCTTGGTCGGCCTGCTGCTTTTCACGGAGTGGGATTTCTTCAGTAGAGCTTCCCATTTGCTTGTTGTCTCTAGCTGCCATTTTTTTTCGTGAAGGTGTTTTTTTTCAGGGCCTGTCACTGGCCTGCCTGGTCGGGTTGCTGCTTTTCGTGAAGTGGGATTTTTCCATCGGGCTTCTAGTTTGCTTGTTGTCTCTAGCTGCCATTTTTTTCGTGAAGGTGTTTTTTTCAGGGCCTGTCACCAGCCTGCTTGGTCGGGTTGCTGCTTTTCGTGAAGTGGGATTTTTCCACTAGGCTTCTAGTTTTGTTGTTGTGTGCGCCTGTTTTTTTCTCTGCGCAGCAGAGCTTTTTACTGGCCAGAACTTCTAATTTGTTTGCTGTCTGTGGCTGCCATTTTTTGTGAAGCTGGACCCCTTTCAGGGCCTGTAGTTGCTTGGTCGGCCTGCTGTTTTTGGTGAAGTGGGACTTTTTTGGAGGGGTTCATCAATTATGCTATGAAATCTTTGAAGTTTATAAACCATTGAAATATTTGGGTATTACAACAATATTTCGGCTGTGAAAGGAAGCCGCATATTTGCAATCAGACCATAGTTGAAAACCTGAAATTGTCCTGAAACAATATGTATGATTCAGATTCTATTGGTGAGACAGCTGAAGATAGACAGATTCAGACATATTCAGGTTTTCAGACGGTTTTCAGACATATGTGTGCATGATTCAGAATCTGAAAAAATCTGAAAAATCTGAATGTTTTCAGATGTTCATCATTTCCTTTACAAAATTTTCAGATTCAGATTTTTTCAGATTGTTTCAGATTTTTTCAGATTTTTAATTGTTTTTCTAATTTCTCAAATGTTGAGTAAGTTTGATCAGATTTGATTGCAATTCTGAGTACACGGGGCCTCATTTGTGGGCAAGTCTTGATTTGTGAATATATATATATATATTGACCTACCCATATGTATTTGTGAATGGTTGTGATCAGTGATATTCTCATTTACGTAGTTTCATACTTGACTGATTGTCAACTGAGATTACTTCTTAACATATCAAAACACGATATTGTTTGCTTGTGGGTTGTTGCTTGCGAGTACAATGGAAATGATTGATGAACTATGTTTTGAGTGCTTAATATTTTGTTTGACACTCATATCAAGAAAATACATAAATGAATTGTCAACATGTTTGTTATGGATTTGCTCATACTGTGAAAT